TAATAATAATAATAATAATAATAATAATAATAATAATAATAATAATAATAATAATAAGTAATAATAATAATAATAATAATAATAATAATAATAATAATAATAATAATAATAATAATAATAATAAGTAATAATAATAATAATAATAATAATAATAATAATAATAATAATAATAATAATAATAATAATAAGTAATAATAATAATAATAATAATAATAATAATATTAACAATAATAATATTAATAATAATAATAATAATAACAATAATAATAATATTCACAATAATAATATTAATAATAATAATAATAGTAGTAGTAATAATTAACAACAATAATAAGGTATTGAATAAAATGGTTTGTTTTCGTGGTTGTTAATTTTAATTAATTCTTAATAGGTGAAATTGTAATCAGTTAATATTTCCATTGATCTGGTTGATTATTACGTATCCCAGATGAATTGTATATTCGGTCTATGATGATAAATAGTTAATTTTGCAAAGATGATAATGAATTTTGACTGACTGTTAATTGCTGTAGTTACTTCATGTATGAAATTATAGCAGTATTTTTCTGCGGAAAAATTTAAATTCTGATTAATTAATATGCTATTCTGGTGGATAAGTCGTATTCGTTAATTTTACTATAATTTATTAATTTTGCAATTTCCTTAATTATCTAATTATTTGTTGTAATTTCTTGCGTAAAAGGAAAAGTTGATGATACAGAAAACTTTTCTTTTATAATATTCCAACAAAACCTATCAAAACCTTAACTAAAATGATTTTATTTAGTATAAGGTAAATCATTGGACAAAAATAACAATTTAATCCATTCTTATTGCCTTTTCTATCTTTTATAATTTCCATATTAACAAAAATGGATTATATAGATAGAAACTATATGTATATATACTAATTATTGCAACAATTGCGCTACTAATTAGCATATAAATTGGTAACGCTTAAATTTCCGTTCTAATTGACTTATACTAACTACGATTCAAAAATCATCCTGTACTACTTTTGCATAAGTACAAAAAATACAACTACAAAAAATACTTCAATAATATTCCAAATACTTCGGTATAGCTTTTTCTATTTAAAGAAACTATTTTAACGAAAATTTAAGGAAACTTTTAATAAACCTAAGAGTAATACAATGAATTTCGTTGCACATTAAAATAATTGAAATAACGTTACTAGATGATAGTTGGGATAATCATTTTAATTTTAATAAGCTAAAAATTGGTGCCAATAGGCGGAAGAGATTGTTTTATGTTCGTTATAAGTCGTAAATAATAATTAATTTATAGATTGACGTAAGTTATTCCAGACCATGTCTCTCTTAGTTACTGAAGCCTATCTATGTTGTTGTTGTTGTTGTTGTTGTTGTTATTGCTGTTGTTGATAATGATGATGATGACGATGACATCTATTGCAACAAGAAAAAACGAAAAAATTACGATATGAAGATAAAGATGCATGTATTCACTACTATCATCACTATTATATTACTACTGATATATTGTCACCGTCATTAATATCAATCGTCGCTATCAGAAATACAATGATGATGAACATCATTATCATTACTATTAACCATCGATGTCATCGTCATCGTCAATATTATCACTCTGATGAATAAAAATGATCGTCACCATTATTATTCATTACGACCAATCATCATTATCACTCTCATCATCATTATCATTATCATCATCATCATCGTCATCATCATCATTATTATTACTATCAATCATCATCGTCATCATCATTATTATTATTATCACCAATACTAATCGTCATCATAAATAACAGTAATCATCATCATTATCAGTGACAGAGATTGTAATGGCCTAAATATTTATAACTTTCATATAATCGAACTATTTTTTATAGTTTCGATTTTTGCATTTTTTTTCCTCGCAGTATACATAACGATATCATTGAAGGGGACAGTGATCACAAAAAGCATCATCATTGAAGCGAATAATAATCACAAAGGTTATCAATTCCTGCAGCGAACAGTAATCGCAAGGGCCTATCATCATTGTGGCGAAAAATGATCGCAAAATGTATCAATGAAGCGAATAATGGTCACAAAGGTTATCAATTCCTGCAGCGAACAGTAATCGCAAGGGCCTATCATCATTGTGGCGAAAAATGATCGCAAAATGTATCAATGAAGTGAATAATAGTTGTACAGGGTTGTTTGTATCAAAGTCAATCTTGCAACAATAATACTATAGCATCTATTTAGATAGGCAAATATTATATCTATCTTCCATTCCATTATCCTTTTTACTTTTTTTTTCACTCTCTTTCTTTTTCCAAAAAAGATGAAAAAAAAAATGTTATAATCCATTTGATTATAATAAAATGGGTAATTTTTTCTTCCCTCCAACAATATTACATCATTATAGGATTAATTTCAAGTGAGCAAAAGTAATTTCTCATAAACTTTTCTTCATCATTCACTAAATAATCCTCAATTGAATAGAAATATTTGGAAAAAAAAAGGGACGATGAAGAAGTCTTGTATTTAGAATTAATTGAAAATTCTACAATGATAAAAATAGTTTTGCACACACACACACACACATGCACATACACACAGACATACTATGCCACGCACACATTCATGCACACACACACATGCACATACAGAGATACAGATATACCATGCCACATACATACACACACACATACACACACAGATACGCATATATACATAGGCAGATAGATACGCGTGAACACCACGCATACACATGCACAGAGACATACACACACATACAGACATACACAGATATATATATATATATATATACAAATGGAATAATTAAGATTTTGTGATTATTTTTAGACTAAAAAAAAAAAATTTTTTTTTTTGAACCATTATATAATGAATTTTTCCATAACAAATGGTAATTTTTATCATTTAATCATTTATCGTAGTCTTTATCTTAATCATTACCATAATCATTTATCGTAATCTTTATCTTAATCATTACCATAATCATTCATCACATTAATTTATTTTATTTATTCATCATAATCCTTTATCGTAAAAATTCATCAAAATTATTCATCATCATCATTTCTCTTACTTATTCCGTTACAATCATTTTTATCTTATTCATTACTATAAGTATTTATCATAATCATTACCATAAACATTTATCATAATCATTTATCATATTCATTTATCTCAATTATTTATCGCAATCATTAGACATAATCATTTACCGCATTCAACTTATCTTAATTACTTATACATAATCATTTATCAAATTCAATTATCTTAATTATTTATCATAATTATCCGCCATAATCATTAATGTGCATTTAAATAAGCAATAAGAAGTAATTTTCTTTTGTTTATTTATTCTTTCTTTTTCCCTTTTTTCCCTTTGAAAAAGGTAGTAGAAAAAAGGACAAAAAAGAAACAAATTAACTTGAAAATTGTGTTATTATCAGTTTTGTATTGAGAAAAGGTGGAAAAATAAAAATAAATCAAATGAATGTTTGAAAAAAAGTGTAAGTGTTTTTAGCAAAATGAGAAAATTATGAGAAGGAAGAAAAACAAAAAAAAAAAAAAAAATGAAAAATAATTCATTTTAGATAGATTTAAAAGATGTTATTGAAATGGAAAAGTTGATTAAAAGATAAATAAAACAAAAGCGGAAAAGAAATTTTGAAATGAAAAAGGAGACATTTAAATTTTGACATGTTTATGTCTTCTTTTTTCTTTCCCACTTTTCTTGTGCACATATATTTCATATACTTTTCGCATTTAAATTTTACAACAGGAAGAAAAAACAATTTGATTAATTAATTAACTGGTTGAAATTTTTTTTTGTCGAAAATTACAATAACTGATTGCGTCAATTTTTTTAATCAATAAATAAATTAATTTAACAAGCATAAGAATTTCGTGGAAAATTAACTGATTGATTTGCAAACAGATTGGATATGATTGATGAATTGCTAAAATTAATCAAAAAGATGAAAGTAAAAAAGGCTATAGTAGAATTGGATATTGATTTCAATTAATTTTAATGTAAATTGTTAAAAATGATAACATTGATAACATTAATAAAATGAAATGTTATCCGATATGTTTAAGCAACAATAAAATTGTTTTAAAAATGGTCAAGAACTTCATTAATTTTTGAAAAAAAGAAGGAACATCATTGATTTGAATAAATTCTGATATAT